ATATTTTTTTAATAATGAAACTGGGGCATCAGTAGTAGAGATAGCCTAATTTAAAAAAAAAGTTGGAAGTTGGAGTTCAAAATAGCACAAAGGAGTTTTGACATACAAAATAATCTCCACCCCTACTGCACTTAAGGGGGACGATTTTAAAAGTTATGTTGGGATTGTGTGCCAATGCAACAACCTTAAATGCTTGACTTAGTTTATAGATGTAAGATTCAAGAAAGTCTTAAGGTGTCTGTAACTGCTATTAAACCCCGATTCTTTTGTCCCCGTGATAGAACAGAGAAAACCCGACTCATAGTTATTTCTGTACTTCAGACGTCACACACGTCACACAGTTTCATTACAGACGAACTCCTTCTACTCAGTTCCTCTTTTCTTTGTCTCAGTTCCTGTGCAGCTTGCAATAACTTCCATTTTCTAAGGTCTGTTGCCAGGGCAACCTGTCTAGACTTAGTCTCACTCTGTCAGTTCCTCATATTCTACAAAAAACATGCAGTTTCTGGTCAGCCTGCAACCTAGTCTCAAAGCTGGCCTTCTTTTATACATAAAACAATCTAATGAGCAAATACACATTAAAAAATATCTCTCTATTTCTTAACTGACCTATAACACTGCCAAAAAGAGAAGATAATACACCTTAATATAAAAATCACTCTGTTAGACGAAACAGTCACAACTGAAGTAGCGTGTTTCAGCTTTAATAAAAATATACAGTATTACAAAACATAAGCCACATGGTCCTCATTTAGCATGTATAGTCTATTGAGACTGTACATGGTAAAATGTGATGAGATTTCTAACAAACTGATGTGATGGAGATTATTATGAGGGCTAGCCAAATTATTTATTTTTCTACATGATCGCCATTTCAGTCGATGCATTATTTTTGATGCTGTAGCAGTTTTACAATGCCTGTGCCATACCAGCTCAGCGCCATTTCCTTCAGGAAGTGTTGAACCTCATCTTTCACGTCTTTGCCAGAGCAGAATCACCTTTCAGCTGGATGGAAACTGTCTACACCACTTGTGAAGGTTTTTGACATCCATGCACAACTGCCCATACATATACACAGTCAGTTGGCAATGAATTTCAACTGGTTTAACGCCTTTTGCAGTCAAAAATTGAACTTGGCACTGCGTGAACTGGGCCCTTGGTGGTAGCATCCAATTTGAGCTGTATTTTCAAGGGCTGCCAACCCAAGATTGAGCATCCCAGTGAAGCCTCACATGCTTGTTTGGGAGTGGAGGAAGCACCGATCACAACAGTGTGGCCAACAGCCATACGAACAGTTTCTCTATGTTCCCACTGCTTTGGAGAACTTACTTTTGGGATTGCCCTAATAGCTATTTGTTAAAACTAGCAGTTCATTAGTGATTGTTATAAATGTTTAATCAGTAAAGGTTTTGTGTCATGTATGACTTGGAGAACTGTATTACAGATTTTGTGTGATGCAGGAAAAAGAAAGCATGAATGTGTAGCTTTCTGTCTTTATAGTTACAGGTGGTCCCATAAACCTCAGCAGAAGCTGTGAAATTCTACCAACTGACAGAGAGTCAAACTGAACCAATTCCAAAATTTCTTTTTTACTTTGTTTTTAATTGGTATTTTGAAAGGTGCAAAAATTATTGTTTAATTTTGTGCTTTGATGATTTATAATTTTAATGATGACATCTACGGGTTGACTTCTTTCAGGCTGGTCACCCATTTAACTGTGTTGTAATGATTGTCATTTCACTTTGATTTGCTGTCTAGGTAGTCAAGTGGGGTTAATTCCTATTAAAAGGCATCTCTACACTGCTCAAAATAAATAAAAATAAATAAATATATCACACTTTTTATATATGACACTGTTTAATCAAAGTATAGTATTGATCTAGTCAGTTAAGTAGCAGATGGGTTGTTGATCAGTTTTAGCTGCTCTGTTTTTTTGTTTTATTAAATTAACAACTGTTGCACTAGATGGGAAACAATGAGACAACCCCCCCCCCAAAACAGGAATGATTTTACAGTTGGACGACACTGAAATTTGTTCCCTCCATCTATTTCACAATTCAATATCACCAGTATCTGCTCCTTTGTGCCAGAAGGAGCAGGATCAGGACTGCAAGAGCTACAAGTTATCTCCAACACTGGTGTTGACCATTTTTATTTTTTTATTTCCATCAAAAGATATGGCATTATCTTTTTTTTTCTACTGAGATCTGGTTTGTTTTTTAAAGTGTACCTTTAGTTATTTTTTTTACATTTTTAACGTTATTTTGGACGGCAAAAAACTTTAACAGTCTTGAGCTTCAGTCTGGAGCCAGATTAAGTTATTTTAGTGTTATTACAATGTTAATGTTAACAAAATGTCTTTTCAGTGCCTGAGCTGAGAGTTGTTTTGCTGGGGAGCAGCTGGTCTGACAAGAGTTTGCTGGTGAACTTACTACTGGGAGAGACCATTTTTTCCACTGAAGAAGAACTCAACATCTTTGTGAGATTCAAAAGAAAGTTTAATGAGACAGAAATAGTTATTGTTAACACTCCAGATCTTCTTCATCCTAACATGACCCAAAAAGAACACATAGAACAATGTATAGAATTCTCTCTTCCTGGACCGCATGTGTTCCTGCTGGTTCTAAATCCTGAAAACTTTACAGAGAAACATAAAAAGAAGCTGGAATCGTTTTTTGAAAATTTCTGTGATCAACAATTTAAACATTCACTAGCAGTTATAAAACTCCAAGCGGAAAAATCACATTCAACAAAGACCTTTCAGCAAAACCTACTGTTAAGAGAGACTATTGAAAAATGTCGAGCCAAATTGTTGTGGGAGGAGAACCTTCTACAACAACAGCTATTATCAACCATGGGCAGCATAGTGAAGGAGAACAATGGAGATCATCTCAGCTTGGATATTTACAAAGAACCAACAAGTGGCATTCTGAGTGAGCATCAAGCAAGGAGAGAATTAAATCAAGGAGGACTAGTCGGTGAGAGCTTGAATCCTGTTACGGTTACTGGTAAGTACAAGAATATATTTCATAATGTAATAAATACAAAATTACCATATTTCAATGTCAAGTTATTTAATATGCTGATGGGTGGTAGAAAATGTATTAATTATTCTATTATGCGACATTTGTTGAGCCTTGATATGATTGTTGAGTGTCTTTTGACTGAGTTGATACACATGGGAGAAATGTCATGCAGCTGCAGGTACATCAAGGTCTTTAGAAAGTAGAAGTACACAACTAACAAAACTATTTAGATACACATTTATAAATAAAATTATTAAAATATGAGCTCATTAATTTGTTAATAGAGCTTATTTCATATTTTAATTCATGAATGATTCAGCCAGTTACTAGTTAAGTATTACATCCAAAGTGAGGACTATACTACTGAAATATAGGTAGGACCACAGTCTATACCAGAGTTTGTTGGAGGGGGTTTCAAATTGAAAGAAAACTGAGTAGTTGGAGCCACAGGGTAGCTTAATTAAACCCTATAAAAGTTTCTTCATTTAACATGAAATATGAATAAGGTTATCACAAAACAACAGTAAATATTTAGATATTTACTATCTAGGGTTTTTTTGTTGTGTGGTTTTTGGAGAAATACGGAGGTTTTTTTTTTCAGGAGTTTTTTCCTCCTTATTTGCCCTAAGGGTTGGGGTTGGGGTGGGAGCAGAGAGAGTTTTATCGAATTATTCTAGGGTTTGTTTGTTTTTTTTTGTTGTGCGTTTTTGGAGAAAAGACGGAGGGTTTTCAGGAGTTTTTTTGCTGAGAGCCACGGTGGGATCCCGAGAGTCTTTTACAACTCAGAGTTTGATTAAAAATCTCCTTGTTCGTATTAAACAAATGCATATAAATTGAAATAAAGTTTTCCCCCAAACGTTACAAAAGCACAAGTTTAACTAAGCAGTTTTACTATGTATTAACACATTTTCACACACAAGCCCGGACCCCCGAGACACAAGCACGGCCCGAGAAAAAGGCGCGTGCCCCGAGCGCGCACAGACACACAGGTCATGCGCTGACCCACCACCAGGTTGCGTTTTTTTAAGCATAAAAAGTAAAACACTTTTTTTATTGGCTTAAAAAATAAAATAATGCTATTTGATATATAAGAAACTTTCTAGATAAACAATTAGTTCTTTTTTTTGTAGGGGGAAAGCAATGAGCTATGAACTAGCATATTTTTGGATGAATATCATATTTTTATGAATAGCATATTTTTATTACTTTCTTTATTACTTCCTTTATTACTTCATAAACTTTTATTGGGGGTCACAAATCACTCTGTTTGACATAAGGGGTATAATATCTCTCTCTCATCACACTTATTGGTAATGTCACACGAAAAACAATGGTTTGCTTGGTTTCAACGTAACTTTACTATACTATACTAATGTGCGACAAACCTGACTTTAATATCACCTACCATTCCCATGTTGTTACGGTGTATCCATATAAATGGCCCACCCTGTATATTTTGAGAAATCAGTAAATCAGAGGGATAGCTCAGGTTGTTGTTTGGAGATAAAGTTTGAGATTGTTTGGACATGTATGGCGGAGGGATAGTAGATATACTGGACAAAGGTTGATGAAGATGGAGCTGCAAGGCAGGAGAAAAATAGAAAGACTAATAAGAGGATTGATGGATACAGTGAAGGAGGACATGCAGAGTGCTGGTATGACATAGGAGGATGCTAGGAATAGGGTGAGGAAAAAGGCAAATGATTCACGGTTGCGACTTGAAAAAGGAACAGCCAGAAGAAGAAAAACAAGAGGTTATGAATTTACAGAAATGTATACATTTATAAATTTGCTGCATTTGCTGCAAATCCAGAAGGATAAAGGAGACTACATATTAAAACCAAACATAAGAACGTTTATAACTTGTTTGGATCGCCTGCTGAACAATTTGTAAATTTCAGTAAAAGTGTGCTTAGTAATTTTAAATAGAAATTTTACCTATCATTTATTTGGTCATTTATTACAGCACACGCAATGAGGATCATGCTGGTTGGAAAGAGCGAAGACAAAAAAAGACTGCTGGGAAACATTATCACTGACAAAAAAGAGTTTGGCATTACAGGTAGTCTAATGAAAGACTGTCAGGCAGCCAGTGGTGAATGGAACAGAACCCCAATAACAGTAGTGAAATGTCCAGACTTCTGTGGAAGTCTATCTGTGGAATCTGTGAGACGAGAGCTGAAGAAGTGCGTGAGTCTTTGTCCTCCTGGACCAAATGTCCTGCTGTTAGTGAAACCTTCGGACTTCTCTGAAGAGAACAGAAAAACTCTCAAGTTCATCCTCAGTTTGTTTGGTCAAGATGCCTTTAAACATTCAATGGTTGTTGTGGCGCATAATGAAAATGAGAATAACACAGTGCAAAGACTAATCCGAGATTGCAAAGAAAGGGTGCACAGATTTGGTATTGATAAAAAAGATTTAAAAAAAGACAGACAAGAACTGATGCAGAAAATTGAAAAAATCCTGAGTGAGAATAGAGAAGGATATTTAACTTTAAATGAAGAGGCAGAACTTCTGAACCTGGTGCTGTGTGGTACAAACAAACTTCAGAAGACCTCAGTAATCAATGCTATTCTGGGACAAAGAAAGTTTGATCCACCTGCCAACACATCAGAATGTGTTAAACATCAGGGAGAGGTGTGTGGACGTTTGGTTTCCCTGGTAGATCTGCCTGCCTTGTATGGAAAACCTCAGAAGGAAGTGATGGAAAAATCACTTAGATATATCTCCCTTTGTGATCCTGAGGGTGTCCATGCCTTCATCCTGGTCCTACCTGTGGATCCCCTCACTGATGAAGACAAGGGAGAGTTAGAGACCATCCGGAACACATTCGGCTCTCGGGTCAATGACTTCACCATGATTCTGTTCACTGTGGACTCAGATCCTACAGCTTCAGCTGTTGTGAACTTTCTAATGCAAGACAAGGATATCCATGATCTCTGCGAGAGCTGTGGAAGAAGATTTGTTGTTCTCAACATGAAGGACAAGCAAAATGTGTTAAGCGGTGTAGAAAAAATTACTCAGAAAAAAGGCAAATTGTGCAGCTACACAACTGAAACATTTACATACGCACAAATAGAAAAGATCATAGAAAAAGAGAAAAAGATCGCTGATTTGGAGGGTGAACTTAACGACCAGGAAACTAAGACTACAGTAAGCTGTAAGTAATGCAAACTTTTTTTTTTTTTTTTATCATATTTCATCATATTATGTTGATGATGTAACCATTTACCTTTTAAATTATACAATTCAAACTATTAGTATTCAAGGTATCTCTTTCCAACTCCTTTAACAGATGATGAAGAGATTAACAGTCCAGACTGTCTCAGGATTGTGCTGATTGGAAAGACTGGCTGTGGAAAGAGCACTTCAGGAAACACCATTCTCGGAAGAAAAGAGTTTAAATCAGGAACAACAACAACCTCAGTCACAAAATTTTGTCAGAAAGCACACAGTGAAATAGATGGTCGTCCTGTTGTTGTGGTCGACACTCCTGGATTGTTTGACAACAGTTTGACCCCTGAAGAGGTTAATGACGAGATCACAAAATGTATCAGTCTTTTGGCTCCAGGACCACATGTCTTCCTACTGGTTGTAGAGATTGGCAGAATCACACCAGAAGAGAAGGCGACACTGGAACTCATCAAAAAGATATTTGGAAAAAATTCTGAGAAGTTCACCATTGTTCTTTTCACAAGAGGAGATTCACTGGAACATGAGGAACAGACAATAGAAGATTACACACAAAAAGAATGTGATGATTCCTTGAAGAAGCTGATCTCTGACTGTGGAGGAAGATACCATGTGTTCAATAATTATAAGAAGCAAAGTCAATCAGCACAGAATAAGCAATCAGCTCACTCACAAGTGAATGAGCTGATCACAAAAATTGACAACATGGTGAAGAAAAATGGAGGTAGCTGCTTCACCAATGCGATGCTGCAAGACGCTGAAGCAGCAATAAAGAAGGAGATGCAGAGGATTCTCAAGGATAAGGAAGAAGAGATGAAGAGACAGCAGGAAAAGCTTCAAATTACATATGAGGAAAGAATACAATCCATGAAAAAAAGAATGGAAGAACAGAAAGCAGAAATTGATCAGGAAATAAAGCTGAGAGACGAACAACTCAAAAAACTGCAGGACAGCATCTGCATTCAGTCTGAAGAGAGGAAGAAAGAACAAGAAATTAGAGACGAAGAAGACAGGAAAAAAACAGAAAAGGAACAACTTCAAAGACAGGAGTGGCAACAAAAAATGCAAGAACTGGAAAAAAGACTAAAATCAGAGTCAGAATCTAGGGAAACAATTTGTAGAGATCGTGAAGTGTACATAGAAAAAATAAGAGTGCAACAAGAAACTTGGGAGAAGGAAAGAAAAGAACTGAAAGAAAAACGTAAACAAGAAGATGAACAGAAAGAAAAGAAAATCAGCGAGCTCCAACAAAATTACAATCAAGAAAAAGAAAAATTTGAACTAGAAAGAAAGGAAAAAGAAGATAAAATGAAAAGAGAACAGGAAGGGAAGCTTAAAGACTTGGAGGAGAACTATCAGAAACAAATTGAGAACATGCAGGAGAAGTTTAAAGAAGAGGCCAGAAAAAAAGCTGAAGAATTCAATGATTTCAAAGAAAAACAGGAGAAGGACTTTGCAGCACTGATTTTAAAACACATTGAAGAGGTGAAGAGTCTGAAGCAGCAACATGAGACTGACATGCTGGAAAAGAAGAAGGAATATGGAAGATTAAAGAATCTGTCAGAACACAAAGAAAATAGTCTAAAGGAAGAGCTAGATGACCTGCTGGGTAAACATAAAGGGGAAATGGCTGATTTAATATTGATACTCCTGACTCAAAAGAAAGAAAACAAGGAAAAACTAAAAAAACTACAGAAATCGTATAGAACAGAGGTGGAAAAGTATGAAAAAAAACTTTCAAAAGAGAACCAAGAAGAAGAGAAGGAAAAAATTGGTAAACTACAGAAGAAACAAAAAGAGGAAATCAAAAATTTGAAAGCAAACATAGGAACTAAAAACAAAGAGGAACAGAAAACACAAAGAAACAGGCTGTCCATCAAACATGAACAAGAAATGTCAGATATGAAACAAAAACTTTTAGACCAACAACAGCAAAGAAAGAAGGAAGAATTCTATAACTTACAAAAAGAACATGACAAAAAACTGAAGGAATTCAAACAAGGGCTTCTAGCTGAAAGTGAAACAAATCAGAGAGAAAAAATGGATGCACTATACACCAAACACGAAAAGGAAATGGATGGATTGAAAAAGGAATTTGGGATGCAAGATGAAGACAGTATCAGAGAAGAAATGGATGAAATGCAGAAAAAACATTATAAAGAGATGAGTGAGTTGAAAGAAAAACTTTGGACTTCAGAGGAGAAACAGTCCTGCTTCGTCTCATAAATAAAACTGCTAAGTCGAAAAAGAGAGCTATTTTAGGCCTGGAAGAATGCAACACATAACAACACTTAAACCCATGAATTGTTTTCTTTGTCTTTTTCACAATCTCTTGTAACATCAGGTAATATCACTGGCATAGATACAACATGGGCAACTTTCAATCAGGTCCTAAAGAGGGAAGATAAGTTTAGACAAGTCCTAATTTGAAATAAAATAATTTCACTAAGTAAAACTTGGATGGTCTGTTGGTACAATTAACTGCACAGAGTCATATTATTTTATTTTAATAATATTTTATTTAAAATGTTCAAAAAAGGCACCAACACCACAAATACAGTCAACAGCTGCAAGTTGTCTAAGTTAAAGCCTAACAGTTGTCAGTTTTCTTAGCATATGAATGCCATATAACATATAATTATCAAGTATGGGTTAATAACATTTGAACAGGAGGGTTACATAATGATCCCACCCCTACAATGGCACAGTTGTTGCATCTTTTGTATGCTGTTTATTTCTGGTAATCTGGACATCAGAATTCTGCAGGAACTGGTTCAGTATTGGAACTGCGCAAAGAACGTGCGGTCTACACCTATGTTGTTTGTTATGTTTATTTCCATTACACTAAATGTTATTGTATAGTATTGTAAGTGTACATTTATTGATGCTCTACTTTCAAGAATTCCCATCCAGTCCCCCTTATTACCTTCATATGTACAAACAGTGCTGTCTTACCATTAGTTCCTTAAGGACCATGTTTTTTGGATTTCATGTTTTGAGACCAAATATAGACCCAGAAGACATTATGTACACTGTAAATGGTGCTGTTTATTGTGAAAGAGATTGAAATCCCCTGGCTCATTTCCATCCAAAAGTGAAATAAAAGGACTTAACATCCATCCTTTTTATGGGTAAAGTGACACAGAGCGTTAAAACAGTCTATCTATATGTAATTCTGCTAATAGTATTTAATTCTAATTTAAAACTCAAACATAAATGCAATTTATATGATTAATGAGAAATGTATTTTGAGTAATGGAAATTATTGGAATGCCTACATTTGTGTGCATTAGTGTCTATGTATGTGAAACTGGCTGCAGGAATGTGGAAGATAAGAAATGTGACTGAATAAGATAAATTATATTATTTTTTTTGTGACTGAATGAACACAGAATCATAGTTTATATGTGACTTTGTCAGCAGTTAATCATGAATAATTCTAATCAAAATGCAATCAAGTATAGGTTTAACCAACATAATGAATAAGAAAATATAACCTCAGTAATAAAATGATTTTAATAACACGCCTCTCACTGAAATTCTTTATGAAGTTGTTTGTGCTAAAGATGATTGTGCTTGGAGGCTGCGTGGGAGAAGGATTGGAAGACACTAATCTTATAGAATATCTGACTTTAACATATAAGATTTAAAAAGAAGTTATATGGAAGATATTGTAATTGAAATACAGAGATATGAAGAGAAAAAAGTATTCATGAGTTAAAAAGAGATCAAATTGGAATCACAAAGAGTGATGATTCTCATGTGAGATTGAGTTAATAAATCCTATTGAAGTAAAATGTGTAAACTGAATGAAACATGAAGGAAAGTATATTAATATGTGATTGAATATATTTATATGCATGTTATGGAGTTAATGAAACTCATGTTAAAGTACAACATAGAACATAGAAAATAAGAAAATGTAACCATTGAAATGAAGTGGCTTCAAAGTTTGAACTTCAAATCATTAATGTGAAAGATCACTAAAAGATAAAAGAAGCTACAGGGTGTGACTTAAAATGGGCGTTACAGACTGGAAATAGGAATGCTGTGGACTCAAGAGCAGACTCAATTGCTCAAACTGTGTACAATTATACACAATACATTTATACAATTATACACAATTATTGTACAATTTATTGAAGGGAAAATCAACTTAAGCAGCGCCGAAGGTGGTGCTGGACAGATGGAACGGCTAGTTCCATCTCATTCTCTAGTAACCGAGAGAGGCTTCAAAGGGTGACAAACTTGTCGCTCAGGATGTAAGACAATTATGGGCGTATTCCACCCAAGGTAATTGAGTGGACCAGATAGTGGGATTCTGTGAAGTTATGCAGCGGAGAGTGGATTCTAATTCCTGGTTCAACCGTTCATTTTGACCATTGAACTGAAGATGAAAGCCAAAACTAAGGTTTATTTTGGCACCTAGGGCCAAACAGAAGGTTCTCCACACTCGGGAGGTGAATTGGGGCCCTCTGTCACAAACAAATTCTGAGGGTATGCCATAAAGTTGGAACACATGGTCGGTAAGAATTTGGGTAGTCTCAGTAGTTGTTGGTAACTTTTCTAGGGCAATGAAATGGGCCGCTTTGGAGAACCGATCGATTATAGAAAGGATTACTGTCTTCCCAGAGGAAGCTGGGATGCCGGTGACAAAATCCAAAGCAATGTGAGACCAGGGTCTATGTGGGGTGCTCAGCAGGTGAAGTAAGCCAGGTGGGTGCCAATTGAATTCCACCAAAATACCTCTTTAGTAATGCTGTAGTTCTACTCACTCCCGGGTGGCAAGTAAACCTCGCCGTGTGCATCCAGTGGATTACAGCCAACCGCGGGAGCGAATGAGGCTGGCCACAAGTAATTCCCGGATGTACTTCTCCATAGCCTCCCTCTCAGGATGAGACAGGTTATAGAGGCATCTGGTGGGCAACGGAGCACCAGGAAGGAGGTCAATGGTGCAATCATAAGGTCAATGAGGGGGCAGTGACTGAGCTCTATCTTTACTAAACACCTCCTGTAGATCATGACATTAAGGAGGAACAGTAGTAAGATCAGGAGAAGAAACAACCGGTGGAGGAGAATTAGAGGCCTACGAGGGTAAGGCGGATTTAATGCAGTTGGCAAGGCAAAACAAACTCCAACTTGCCACTGTCTTCCCTGTCCAATCAATGTGTGGATTTGCTTTTGCAACCACGGGAAACCGAGGATTACTGGCACGTCGAGGGAAGAACTGGTAAAAAGGGTTATATTTTCCTGATGATTGCCTGACGTGGCTAATTTGACAGGAGCGGTCTGGTGAGTGATCATGGCGAATACCTCATTATTTAAAGCAGTGTCTGGAATGGGAGGCTAGAGCTGAGTGAGAGGCAGATTCAATGATTTAGCTACCTCAGTGTGTATTAAATTTTGCTCTGCTTCAGACTCCATGAGAGCATGAAATGAATGAGCCTTAGCACTAGTTGTCAAGAAAAGGGTAAGCAAAAGATGGGGTTTATCTGCTTTAAAAATACAGCCCACCTGTAACCCCGAACTTACCGGTGGGTCCACCTTTTGGCGCTTCCTCCTCAGTAAAAACACTCTCCGGCTCGAAAACGCTGTTCCCGGCAGCCATTCATTGGTTTAAGATGGGCTTTATGTCCTCCAAAAACTGCTCACACTGTCAAGCCAATTCACCGGACAATTACATATGTCAGGTTGGGTATCAGACGCCACCTCTCTAGGGACATCTCAGGCCCTCCAAGGTATGGAGGCCTATCTCCCCTCACGACTCCCCCTGCTGGTGGCCTCAGACATCAATCGGTGATTCTTGAGATTAGGGACAAAAACATGTCCGCCAGATAAAACCCAATTTTTGGGTTAAAAATATGCATAGGAGTGTTAACCCAACTTAATAAAGACAAATCAAGGCAATGTTTATACAACAAAAGTATGATTTTGCATTTTTTATACATATATATTTATTTTAAATGGTACAATACATTAACAGTACCTTAAAAATCCATTGTCCAGAAGCAGGTGTGATAATATTAAAATACAGGAAAAAAAATTAAAAGTAATGTAAAATTAAACATCATGGCTCTCGTCACTAAGTATTTAAGTCAATACCTTATATAATATCAAAATATGCAATTGAAGATTTATTTTTACATATTTTTTAAGTGATTAAAATCGTGTCCAGAGTTTTTGTCAACACCATCAGATTTTTTTTGAAGTACAAAAAAAATCATGAATTATTGTGGGTAGCTTACACTTTGAGGACCCCTTTACTGATTCCTGTTTGATACACATGCCATGAGGTCACTGCTGTAATAAGTTTTTTTTATTTTTTATTTTATTTCATTCATGGCATACCTTTCTGATAAAACTCTGTGTCACAACCATAGTACACCAACACCACAGTCAATGAAATGCAAGATTTAATTTTTTTTTGTAAAAAGATTTATTTCATTTAGGTAGATTGTAGAGGTCATAAGCAACTGATGAAAAACAAGATGGCTTCTTTCAGAAAAACATGTGTTATGAGAGAAAGTATGGTATTTTGTCAACATCATCAGGATTTTTGTCTGACGGTGTTGACCCTTTTTCTAATGGTGTTGACAAATGCCACAAAAGTTCATCTATTATCTATTATCACTATTCATCAATTATATTAAGTTATTTTTAATTAATATTTCAGTCATATTACTTCTTGTGTATTTTACTGATATTTCTGCTTCACAGATGTGTTGAATATTATCAAATTTGCCTTATCCTGTTTGTGGACTTCAGCTCTGCCTTAAACACCATCCTTCCAGACCATCTCCAAGGCAAGCTTTCCCAGATGAATTTCCCAGATCAATGTGCCTGATCCCATCTGCCGGTGGATCACTGACTTCCTGACAGACAGGAAGCAGCATGTGAGGCTGGGAAAGAATGTCTCGGACTCCTGGACCATCAGCACCGGCTCCCCTCAGGGCTGTGTTCTTTCTCCTCTGCTCTTCTCCCTGTACACCAACTGCTGCACCTCCACCCACCAGTCTGTCAAGCTAATCAAGTTTGCAGATGACACCACCGTTATTGGACTCATCTCGGACGGGGATGAGTCTGCCTACAGGAGGGAGGTTGAACGTCTGGTGTCCTGGTGAAGCCGCAACAACCTGGTGCTAAACAATGACAGTGGAAATTATTGTGGACTTCAGGAAGCACACAGCCCCCAGCCCCCCCATCATCCTGACTGACACCCTCATCACCACTGTGGACTCATTCCACTTCCTGGATACCACCATCACCCAGGACCTAAAGTGGGAGCCCACCATCACCTCCGTCATTAAGAAAGCCCAGCAGAGGATGTACTTCCTGAGGCAGCTGAAGAAATTCAACCTGCCAACACGGACGATGATGCAATTCTACACTGCAATCATCAAGTCCATCCTCACCTCCTCCATCACCGTGTGGTACGCTGGAGCCACTATCAGGGACAAACAGAGACTGCAGCGTGTTGTGCGCTCTGCTGAGAAGGTGATTGGCTGCAAACTCCCATCTCTGCAGGACCTGTCCACCACCAGGACACTGGGGGGTGCAGCTCGGATCTCAGCTGACCCTTCTCACCCTGGACACAGTCTGTTTGACCTGCTCCCCTCAGGCAGGAGGCTCCGGTCCATTCGCACCAGAACCTCTCGCCATAAGAACAGTTTCTTCCCCTCTGCTGTTGGACTCATGAACAATAACCGTATGACTGTTCCCACCACTAACACATGACCCTACGCTGTGTTCACTGCATCATTCCATGTTTGGCACTGATCACCACCTTCACTCATGTATATATCTATCTACTTAGCACTTTTAATTATTATTTTTATGTTTATTTAAGTGTTATCTGACAGTATGTTTGCACTAAGCATCACAGCAATTTCCTAATGTTGTAAACCTGCTCAACATTTGGCAATAAAACCCTTTCTGATTCTGATTCTGATCTTGAATCTCATTGTTTATGTATACATTATTAATCCTGTAGGAAAATGCTTAGTCCTCTGCATTTAACCCATTCACTCAGTGATGCAGTGGGCAGCTACCAATCCAGGATAGCCTCTGTTCGTTGGATTTGAACGTCCAACCTTCCGATCATGGGGCATCTACTGAACTAGCTGTGCCCCGAGAGCTGTTCTTTAAGTGATGATGTATGAATCCTGCTTCCGGGCCCAAACTACTCTGTGTTTATTAAGGCTGTTGTGCTTTAAACATGTTTTAATGCATTGTATCTTCTTCTATTTAATCTGAACAAGCCACTAAAAGCAGTCAATGATCACTGTTGGCCTAACCATCAGAAACCCTTGCATTACCTTTTATCGAGTGGAAAAAAGTTAGCGTTCATCATCAAGATTCACTGTGTTTACGTTATGCTAACATAGCTGTGTCACTAGCAATCACACAGCAGATCATTATATACCAGCTAGCCCAACTTCTGTAACCCTAAAAGTCACTGTTGTTTAGTTTTCTGTCTTCATTTATGTTGGAATATAGTTGGAAACCAGCGAACTAACAACAACGAACAAACTAACTTCTAACTCCGTTAAATTTCATATATTCTGTTTTCATGGATGCCTAGATGTTACACCTGGTAGAGAAGCAGTACTTTAGACATTAATTCTGAGAAATCAAGGAGTAGTAGGTAACTAATGGCTGGTGAACTATTAAGATGTAGAACTGGACATGTGCAAAAACAGATTTGTTATGATGTGTTTTGTGATGTTGTTAAGGTTTAATCGTCATTTTGAAAGAAATAATATCTTGTTTCCTACTAATGTGTCGCCACCGTCAACACCTTGTTAACTCCATAATATGGATTTTTTGTTTATTTTTCTCTTTTGAAGAACCATATATTTTCCTCCCTGATGATCTTCCAATAAAAATACGTAGTTTTATCAATAAATGTGTAATTTGCATGCTGCTAAATATTATTGTTTTTTATAGAGATTAAATACAAGCTTCTAAAAATATGTATGACTGTAACTCTAATAATAAAAAGCCAAAACACTCTTACATTTAAACGTGGTATAATTAGTTTGAAAACATATGTGCATAATCAGTAGAACAGAAAAGCTGGTAATAGTCAAAATAGCTTAAACAACTTAATTTATAATATATATTTTTGCATTTATTTGTGTCTGACAGTGCTGACAAAAACCTTGCACTTCTCCAGCAAAAACATAAATTATTAAAAAATGTTACACCTGCAAGATTGTACATAAACATGGTGAGACAGCCAAAACGTTGTGTAACAATTATATGGAAATGTGTTTTTGAAAAATCAAATATATATTTTTTAGAAAATTAAAACCTGTTTTGTCCCTAATCTCAGGAATCACTGCGGTGCGTTGGTGGTTCTTGGTATCTGGGGATGGGCGTCCAGGTACGCACCGGCTCACTCCCAGTGGCTGCTTGTCGGGGCCTGGCGCCTGTGGCTCGGTCGAGCCCCTTCGGGGGGTGGGGTGCCCTCAGCCTCTGGGCCTGGGGCTTGGTAGCCTGGATCTCTTCCATACCTGCTTCATACCCTGGGGGACAGCGCTATTGCTCCCCACACCCTCTAGCAGATCGTTACATAAGGAACCTTTTGAATACAAGCGCGCTCATGCTCACACGTGTACACACGGGTACTCACAGACACAAACTACACATTTTTTGGCTGCTACCTCAAACCACACTGTGCGCTGTCGATCCAACGTGCTGCACAATAATGTTTAATATTTAGTATTTACTGTTGTATACACACAGATTATCGCGATGATGTTGTTTATTATACTGCTGCCTTTTTTGCTTGTTTTCTATGGAAGAAATATAGTATCATCAGAATTCAAGTATTTTTAGACATTGAATTTATAACACTGAATTTTTATCCTCCAAATTTCCCTGCAAAAATATTCACCTGCAAAAATTCACCTGCAAAAA